GTGCCCAGCGCCGTGCCCGGGCACCAGCTGGCCCGGCACGGGACCGAGCCCGGTCTAGCCGAACCCAGCCCGACCGCCCGGCCCAGTCGAGCCGGCGGTCTGTCCAGCCAGCGAACCGGCCGGTTCGACCAGCGGTTCGAGTCCGTTTTGATTCGTGACTTCCAGTCCGAGTCTATTTTCGGAATTTTAATATTTTTCCGAGCCAGTCCAGTCCAGTTTAATCGCGTAAATAAGTCCGAGCATTTTAGCATATAATTTAATATTCCGAGCATTATACTTAGCATTATTTTGCTTAAAAATTTATGTAGCCAAAGGAGAGTCGAGCCTCCGACCGCTACTCCAGTCAGCACTTGCATCAGTTCAGTTATCAGGTGGGGGTCATGTACTGGATTCCACATTATATATAATATCTGTACCATGACAGAGGTATGTTCGAGACAGTTAGTTTTTCCAGGTGATTGGCCGACCTAAGGGCCTTTCGAGTTTTACCTGGTACCGGTGGAGGCCGAGGGCCTTAATATCCCATCGGGGTGTGCACACGAGCGGCCGAGGCCGAGGGTCTTATGACCACAATACAGAAAGAAAAGAAAAGTTTACAGTTCAGCTCTTATATATTTATGTTCATGATACGTTATTATACATGATGTCTTATTCAGTACTGGTCTTTGTGGAGCATAGTGGTTTGCTCACGCCCCCATTGTGTTTTTCAAGAGACGGAGTCGAGCGTGCCGGGTGAGCTATGTGTGGCAAAGCATGGTCATGACAGCCGAGGACATTTTTACGCACATTTTATGTCCTTGTATTTATGATAATGTATTATTCGAATATGTATGCATGTATGTTGTATTTCGGATATGCTTCCGCTAGCAGACTTAGACTGTGCGAGACAGTTCAGACATTGCATGTTTAATTCCATTATCCGTAGCGGATAGTTTGGTTGCATGTTTTATTTATGTCTGTGAGTAAGTTAAGTAAAGTTTTTATCTGTGTCATCCCGCAACAAGTTAGTGTTTTCGAAAACCAAGCTCGCACCACCTTTCAAAAACAAAAGCAAAAATTTTACTCTGATTTTTTCAAAACTAGTAAGGCGGGGTGCCACATGCATTCACTATGGGTTTTTATCTTCTACTTCAACAGAGATGGCGAAAAGAATTTGGCGTATCGATTTATCAGAAGAATCAGTGTATCGCTCTGCAAAAACTGGTAAAGCTTATCTGCACGAGTGCTTGGATGTAAAAGATAGACCGGTTATAATAGTGGATGCATCAAAACATTTTCCTGGGGTATGTTATTCGAACTGCTTATATCTTTATTGACGTATCAGTAAAGTTATGTACAAAATGCTTTATTGAGAAAATGAACATTAAATGAACCCTCTGAAGTTCGTAAAGTGGAATCATATGTGAAAATTGTACCATTTGCTCAAAAAAAAAATTAAAAAAATAAAAGTATGATACACTGATAAATCAAGATATTCATGAACACAGGAGCAAGAACCTTCTGAAGATGAGAAGCTATGCGTGTTTTTTATCGAGAAGGCACTTGCCAAGCTCCCACATGGAAATCAAGAAATACTTATAGTTATTGATCTACGAAAGTTCCAGACACAGAATGCCGATATTAAGTACGTAACTTTTGTGGTAATCTCCAAAATCTGTGCATAGTGCTATCAATTATCATATTTAGTTAAGCGAAAGTGCAGCCTTTCAATGATTTTTTATTTTACATCCAGATTGAGAAGAAATTGAATACAAATATATGCGAAATTTGTTCGAAAAAGGTTTAATTTTTAATTTTTATGCTTTCTCTCGGTTTTATGTGCAAGTTTGATGCGTTCTACTGCTACTATCCGAGGTGATTGGGTCAAGTTCTGTTCGTGGATGCCCCGTTTATATTCAAGCCCATTTGGGGGCTTGTTAAGCCCCTGGTAAAATCCTATGCTTCCCTGGTAAGTAAATATATCATAACTATAAACATTTTATTTCTAAATGCCATCCACCAATTCATATAATGCTCGTATATTCACTTCTTTATCGACTATAATTCTTCCCTATTTTTGTTTATAATATCATTACAACTATAAATCATTGTGATTCATAACTTTTTCAGACTATTTTCCTTCATCTTTTCAATCTTGTCGACATGCTGTAAACATTTGCAGGTGAGATTTTGCACTGCAAAGGATGTGAAAGAAGAGTATTTCACGACAAATACTGTCCCGGCTAGCTTCCGAGAATGAAATGGAAGGTTTAACTTGAGTTAGATCAAGCTATTTAATTCTCCCTTGGACACATTCTTTAGTTTGAATAAAATGAAAAGTTTTATGCTGTCATAAAGAAATCAGAAGACAGAAAATGGAAAGTGTCATGGGTGTAAATGTAAATCATCCAAATCTGAAGGACTATTGTAATATTTTATCGTGGAACCAACATAAATTGGGAGACAGAAAATGGAAAGTGTCATGGGTGTAAATGTAAATCATCCAAATCTGAAGGACTATTGTAATATTTTATCGTGGAACCAACATAAATTGGGGACATTGTGAGGTGCAATTATAAAAAAAATTATATAGAGAATCCAACATATTGACAGTCGATTTAACGTGTCAAATTCTATTGATTAGTCGATCAGTCGTATTTTTAAGAATTTTGCTCCGGATGTAATTATATATAATAAACTAAAAAGTAATTTTTTTGCTCACCAAATTTAAAGAAAAAAGTTACTCTTTAATCACATTTTCCCACCTAAATTTTGTTAGCATTCATTTAATTAAAAATTAATTATTGCCACACATCTCTTTTATACAATTTATTGTTGATCTACTGGTATTTTTAACTATCATTTATTTTTTAAAATTATTTTATATTATATCAATTTAACTATTTTATCTCAATCTCAAATTACAATATCCAAATTAAAAATAAAAAAATCATCTCCTCACTAATAAAATAAAAAAAAATATTTAAACATATATGCAACCCATACCTTATAAAAAACAATTAAATAATTTTACAATTTATGGTGAAATATATTTTTTAGCTATGTGGTCACTTTCCTTATTCACTAGGAGATGGACATCACACCATGTAGTTGGTCTGTGTGTTAAAACGGTACAATATTTGGCTAACATACTTTTTTCATAAAATCTACATACTTTCATTAGGAAATATTATATATTAAAATATAACATATAAAAAATTAGGAAAATTGATAGCATATATATTTTTTATTTATATAATATGACGAATATTATTATTCAAATCGACTCTACTAATGATCCGTGAGTACAAAAAAAAAATCCGTGGGCACAGAAGAATATGTGACATATAAAACAAGGAAAAATACTCACCTATTTTCTCCGGTTATCTCCATTCTCAACAAAATACGCATTAATAAACCTTCACCTTATAAAACGTGTTTATCATGCTTTCACCTTTTCAGTTTTCACAGCCTCGTCGTATTTTCAATCCGCTGACTCTATCGTCTTCATCTTTCTTGCATAATCGTTTGCTGCCAACAAAATGGAGATTCAAAGGATTTCTGTTTTGGCAATAACCTTATCCTTCATCGTTTGGGTGGTTTTGATTTTGCAAAAAATCGAGTGCAGAGATTTAGAATCGCCTAAGTACACAGTGGTGCACTCAGAATCTGATTTTGAGATTAGGTTTTACAGAGAAACCGTTTGGATGTCTGCGCCTTCCGATGAGATTTCGTTTGAGAAAGCCACAAAAGATGGATTCCACAGGTGAGCCCTTGTGTTTGTGTGTGTGTTTTTTTTTAAATAAAATTTATTCATTTTTATATAGATATATCAGTTTGTTTGTTGGTTTGCTGCTGTTTTTTGATTGTTTGTAGGATGATTGATAAAGGGAATGAGATTGTAGTTAGCTTTGATGTTATATGGTTCTTGGGCTTGCAGAAAGTTAGCTACTTTGTAGTTGTAGTGTAGGTTCTTTGGTGATTTTTTTTTTCTTTTTTGTTTGTTTATATGTTCGGTGAAATTTTTTTTGAATCTTTGACTGGTTCGATTTTCTTCGAATTATTTTCATGAAGAGATACTGTAAATTACACCAGAAAACTCATTACATGCTGTAGACACTGGTCACTTTAGTTGTTCTGAGGATTTGTGTAGATCATAAAGGTATAACATCCCAAGAGAACTAATTCGTAGGACATAATTGGAGTAGAACAGCAAATTGCTAAGGGAGTGTTTCCAAAAACTTCTGTTTTTTTTGTTTTTTTTTTTTTCAATTGCGATTTGGTATAATTCGTAACAGAAGCAAAGCTAGTCTGGATTCACATGTTGGCCATACATTTGAACATATGCTTAAAGTTGAAACAAGTCGTACGAACGTGTTTTGGTCCATAAGTTGTAAGCACAAACCCATGATCAAAAGTTTGCGAATTTCAAAAGTCCCAAGTGGCATTTTCAATTAGACACAAGCACCCATTCGATGCTTATAGCTTATTTGGTTAGCTTTTAAGTTTCCAGTATTCAAATAAGCTCGTTTGATTTTGTTTGGTTGGATGAATTTTTTTAAAAAGCTCAAGTTTATCTCATAAGCTTCTTTCGGTAGCTTTTCAAATAAGCTCGTTGGAATTTTTATTTCAGCTAGCTGCTAATTTTACTAAATATTTTTATCATACAGCTTAGCGCTTTTTTCGGCTAAAAATCATAAGCTATAACTCTAAGCTCGAAAATCACTTATAAGCTATAATTAACTTATCATTTAGTTTTACCAAACATAACCCAAGGCATATAAACCCCATTCCAAAATTTCTCCCTGACTGCAGATTGTTCGAGTTCATACAAGGCGCAAACTTGAACTTCTCGCGAATACCAATGACAAAGCCCGTCTTGACAAGCATCGTCCCTGGAGCCGGGCCCCTCCACTCGTCTGCCTACTTTGTCGGGCACTACTTGCCCGTCAAGTTCCAGGCGGGCCCACCTGTCCCGCTTCCCGAACTCCACCTCAAGCCCGATCAATGGAAAAGCCACTGCATTGCAGTTCGAAAGTTTTCAGGATTTGCAAGGGATAACAATATCGTGAAGGAGGCTGAGAAGTTGGCCGTGAGCTTGAGCAAGTCTGAGTGGAGAAACTCGACTTCTGCATGAAGTGGGTACGCGTACTCCATTGCGCAGTATAATTTCCCTTTCAAGTTTATCGGGCGTGTTAACGAGGTATGGGTGGATGTTAATGGGTCGGAGAAAGATGGATGTAAATCGAATCTCTTGGCTGCCTATTGAGAGAACTTCCCAGTAAATACTGTGTGTTTGTGTTTCAGACTGTTTTTGCTTTGTGGAGTTGTATTTTTTTTTCCTCAAGAGAAAAAATGTGCTATTGTGATTAAATATTTGTGCCCACACAGCACATTCAATTAACCTCCTACAGCAGTATCAGGAGTTTAAAAGTGTGAATTGATTATGTTCTCGAAAACATTTCAACTGTCAACTCACTGATCAAAGGCATTCAAACCAAAAGCTGGGAAGGAATATAAAGGGCAAAATTTCATTTTTGGTCCTATAACTTGGCCACAGTCCAAAAAACCACCCCTATATTGACCACTTTCAATTTACGTCCTATAACTTGTCAATTTAATCATTTATGGTCCTATTTTATCCGGCAGCGGGATTAAATTTTGACGTGGCATTTTTTTATCCGATGTGGCGCCTCATGTTAAGATAATAAAAAATTGGAGCAGTCACGTGGAAAATGAAATTGCCACATCAGGTATAAGTTCTCTCCATAACATCAGATTTGCCCCAAAATCGATCCTGTAACCCTAATTGACCTAAGCTCGACCGAGAGAGAAAGAGAGAGCCAACAACGATGTCTTCTGCTTCTTCCTTCTCGATGCCTTCCAATTTTTTTTGTGATTGTAACAAGAGAGCTGTAATACGCAGATCACGGACTTCAACAAATCCTGGTAAGAAATTTTACGGTTGCAAGTATTGGAAGGATGGAGGTTGTACGTTCTTTAGATGGGTGGATGAAGATGTTCCCGAGAGCTCGAACAATCATATTATGGCCAATGAAATGATCGAGGTCAGGAAGAAGATGCTATTGCTTGAAGCCGAGAACAAAAAAATCAAGGAGATTGTTGAACTCCAACTTCAGCATGTGGAGGACATCTATGAAGAATTTTCCAATATTCGTAAAAAAATCTGGAAGCTCGTTGTGTTTGTTGCTGCAACATGGTTTCTCTTCATTATTTTGATTGTTGTCATGTGGTGAAAGTTGAATGTTTTTTATTGTTGTTATGTATGTGCTGCAACAAGGTTTTTTTTCTTTATTGTTGTCTGATGAATATTCTATGTGTGTCAAACTTTTGCACCTATGTTGTAATGGAGATGTTGGTCTTGTTAATGTTGTTAGTTTTGTTTATTTTATTTTTGTTTATCTTAAACCGAACAGTTTAAGTTCATCTGCAGAACAAGAACATTATAAACAATAAGAGGTATACTTGTCCATAAGCAGAACCTATAAAATCAAACCATAACCTGAAGTCATAACCAGAACTTGGAACAAAAGTGACATGAACTTTGAGTTCATCTCCATAACCATAAGCAGAACCAGACAGCCTTAAAAAATTTTCACATACATTTCCATAACAAACACAATAGTTCATCTCCATAACCATAAGCAGAACCAGACAGCCTCAAAGATTTTTAACATACATTTCCATAACAAACACAATTCCAAACCAAAAGAACTTGTCCACAACCTGAACCAACTAAACCATCCACACAAAAACCAACCATTCAGTGACTAACAAAAACACCCTAATTCAGTTAATATCCAAAAACCAACCATCAATCAACAACACCCAAATTCAGTTTCAAAACACAACCAACTTATTTGGTAACATTCTTTCCCTTCTTTTTAAGATCAGCAGATGGAACAAGACTGCTAATAGAGGTGTACTTTTGGCCACATTCTTTGAATATCTCCTTCAATCTTGAATCTCTCTCAGTTAGGCAGCTCTCTTGGCTTGGTATGAAATGACCACCAACAAATGGTACTGGTCCTCTGATGACCACTCCTTTAGTGGGATGTCCCATCTGCATTTGTTGGTAAGGAGTTGGGGCAGCTTTGAACCATTGTGTTGCAGGGGCAGGGTCAGGTAGAGCAGGAGCAGGTTGAGGAGCAGGTGGAGGAACAGGTGGAGCAATAGGTGCAGATTGTGTTGCAGGGGCAGATTTATACCACTTTGTTGTAGCAGGAAAAACAGGTACAGGGGCAGGTGGAGCAACAGGTACAGTTTGTTTTGTAACCTAACAAGCAAGTTTTGGTTGTGTTAGTTTGTATAGATGACTGTTAATAGTTGAAAGTCAAAGAACCTGAAAGATGACTACTTACATTAGTTGTGCTTTGTTGAGTTGACACTCCAATTGCTGGTACAGGATCAACCACCCTCTTTCTAGTCTGAAAACATGAACAAGTAAGGTCAGTTTGTGTTATTTTGTAAACATGACTATTAATAGTTGAAACTAAAAGAACATGAAAGATGACTACTTACTTTGCTTGTGCTTTCTTGTGTTGACACTCCAACTGCTGGGACAAGATCACTCCCCCTCTTTCTAGTCTGAAAAAATGAACAAACTTATATGAATCAACTTTTATATAAATGAAAACATGAATCAACTTATACAATACATGAAGACATTAAACAACAATTTATTATACTATTACCTTTAACTTTTCTGGTCTTTGTTGACCTTGAGATTTCAAGAGAAGACATCCTTTCTTATTGTGACCCTCCCTCTGACAGAAGCTGCACTTAACTGTCATTTGTTGCCTCTTCATTGTATTTTCCTTGGTCACAACCCTAGGCTTACCCCTTGGCCTCTTTCTCCCACTAGAAAGAACCTCATCAGGTTCCATTCTCCTAGCCTTTCCTGGCCTTCCTGCTGATCTTCCAACATTTGGTGGCTCAGGTGGAGGATAAGCAGTTGCTGCCCATTCTTTCCTTCCATTAATAGGCATGATTGCAGGCTCATACACCCTCTTGTATGTCTCTGTCTTGTAGCAAGGGTTTACAAAATCTTCAATGCTCCAGCCTTGCAGATTAATTGCACTCAATGCATGAACACAAGGGATTCCAGACAACTCCCATTTTCTGCACCCACAGCTCTGTGCCCTTAGATCCACCTTAAACTGATCACCATTCACACATTCAACTTGAAAATTATACTCATCAGATTTGAGGGGGATGCATTCAACCAAATTATCAATATGAGCATCTATGATTTCCTGTATCTTGGGACACAATGAAAAGTTCCATTTTTTTGCACATCTATCCCTATTCTGCTGCAATCTCCTCATCAAATACCCCATTATCCACTCAAGCATTGACAGAATTGGTTGTTCCCTAGCCTCAAGGATATTGCTGTTGAATGTCTCACAAGCATTGTTAAGAAGTATGTCACACTTAGGAAGTACACTAAAGTGTGACCTACTCCACTCTTGTGGTGGTTTTTTAGACAACCAACTCCAAGCATCTTCACTCAATTGTCTAACTGCACCCATTTTCCTGTGGAACTCATTCACTGTAGTGGCTGTTGCACATCTCCAAACAGCATTCTTAAATGCTATCCCCCTAAAGCCAGCATCTCTGAAATTTCCCATCAAATGTCTAACACAGAACCTGTGAACACAATTTGGAAAAATAGCTTGTGCAGCCTGTATCAATCCTTTTTGCTTATCTGAAATGATGGTCCATTCATGCTGATTGACAATCTCCAAATCATTTTTCAAAAGAATAAAAAACCACTCCCAATTGTCAAAATTTTCAACACTAACAACAGCATAAGCCAATGGGAAAAGTGCATTGTTGGGGTCAATCCCAACAGCAGTAAGCAAAATCCCCTTATTAGGACCTTTCAGATGGCAACCATCCACACCAAACACTTTCCTACAACCTGCCTTATATCCCAACTTCAATGCATTCAAGCAAATATATAATCTATTAAACACACTCTTCCCAGTTTCAGAAATTGTATCCAAAACAACTGTACTACCAGGATTTGTTCTTCTAATCTCCTCACAATAATCCCACAACAATGCATACTGCTCTTTAGGTTCACCTTTTTTATCAGCAATGGCATGCATTTTGGTTCTATATGCTTGTTGTTTAGAAATGTGAACCCTAAGCTCTCTTGCTGCTTGATTTCTAAATCCCTTAACAGCCCTCTGAGGATCATCTTGAAAAACAGCAGCATATTTCCCAGCCAACCATGTGGATTTCAAATTTTTTACCTTTCCAGTCACTGCACAAGTGTGCCTAGGGTTATGCTTGCTAACCTGAAAGGTCTGCTCATTTTTCACCCTAACTGCACTAATCTTCCATGAACAGTTACTATCACCACACTTAGCTCTAAGGTACTGTTTCACATTTTTGTGAATTACCACAGTTCTTTTTGCCTTAATGGCACTTGAATGTATAGCTGTCCTAAGCTCAGATTTTGTGGCAAACATCATACCTATCTTGAAGTTTGGTTCATACAAGTCATTAGGATTAAACACAGGATACTTATAACTCACTTTGTCCTCATCAGAGCTATCTTCACTATTTAACTCCTCTTGGTATACCACATCTTCATCCCCTTCACTTTCATTCTGATTTTCAGTTTCATTTTCATTTTCAGTTTCATTTTCATTTTCAGGTTCATTTTCACTCTGACCAACATCATTATCAACATTCTCATCAAACAATTGATCATCTACTTTTTCATCCCCCATATCATACTCCCAATCATAAAGTTCATCACTGGATTCATCACTTTCAAAACACTCTCCCTTACTACCCTGACCCTCATCTTCATCACAGAAGTCTCCTTTACTACCCTCACCCAAGCTCTCAGTACTATCTCCCTCATCCCCCTCACCAAAGCTCACAACACCACCATCTCCCTTAACCCCCTCACCCAAGCTCACAGCACCACCATCTCCCTTAACCCCCTCACCCAAGCTCACAGCACCACCATCTCCCTTACTTCCCTCACTCAGGTCATCCTCAACCTCACATTTATCACCCACCTCCTGTTCCTTTTGCATTTCTCTCATCTCATCAACATACAAGTTTACTTCTCTAAACTTTCTATTATCTTCCCAAATTTTTCCTAAATCACGCTGAGAGCTTACTAACACAAACATATGTCTCTTATTTTGATACAGTCTGAAAGGTTTTTTTACACCTTTTCCTTCAGCAAGCTTTCTGAAATCATCAAGACATACCTTTGTATGGTCAACAAAATCAAAGATAATTGAAGAACCTCCTAGATATGCTGCATAGTCGTGACCTTGGTCAAATTCACCTCCATAATGTAGACCGAATGTGAAAAACTCACTTTCGATTCCTACAAACCAAAAAGCAATTTTTGTTGATTAGCAACATAAATGTAAACCTTAATTTCAGAAAGTACAATAAACAAAATACAATAAACAAAGTCTAAAAAAACCCTAATTTCAGAAATTATAAATCTAATTTCAAAAATTATAAACCCTAATTTTTAAAAACCCAAATTTCAACAATTATACTAACCATATCTAGGAGGGGGAAGGTAATCAAGCTCTTTTCGCCGCAATTTCATCTCGCAGTTTGGGACTTTAACTCCTAGAGCAACTTTCTCGATCAAACTGAGATTGTCATCAAACTGAGATGTTTTATCCATCGCCGATTTCGATTGTTGCTTCCCTGGTTGAGACTGAGAGGTCTCCATCGTCGATTTCGCCGATTTCGATTGTTGTTTCAGTGGTTGAGACTGAGAGGTCTTCGTCGCTGATTTAGATTTTTTCCTCACCATTTCAAACAATTTCGATTTTTGTGGAATTTCGGGAGTTGAGATTTGAAGATTTTCTTGAGTGGAAATTGAGAAATTGCAGTCGGTTCAATTGAGAGTAGAGAGGTCCTTTGCCGATTTGATGATTGGAATACAGTTTAGGGTTTTGAGAATTTGGGGTTGATTTTGATTCGATTAAGTTGCACATTTGGGAGGGAATTATCTGATTCATTTCGCGCCTTCTCTTATCCTGCCACGTAAAACCACAATCATGCCACATCGGATAAAAAAATGCCACGTCAAAATTTAATCCCGCTGCCAGATAAAATAGGACCATAAATGATTAAATTGACAAGTTATAGGACGTAAATTGAAAGTGGTCAATATAGGGGTGGTTTTTTGGACTGTGGCCAAGTTATAGGACCAAAAATGAAATTTTGCCGAATATAAAGGCTTCATTCAAACCAAAAGCTGGTAAAGCATACGACACTATATTGTGCTCAAACGGTCCAAATTTTGATCTAAAACGAGGCAAATTGTATTGTTATGTAAGTTTGTTATATGACAAACTTACAATTAATGGTAGGCAAATCCTCTTATATATAATTTGAGAACGCACTAACCTTAAGTAGTAGTTTTGCACTTATGTGCCAAAATATTATTCTTTGTAATATTGTTTGGATAAAAATTACTAATTTTTTCTTATACCAAATAGCTTATGTTTGGATTGTCGTGTGTGCACATATTTAATATATTTAAACTATTTCATATAAATCAATTTATTATCTTTCTATAACGTGCATATTACCTTACCTTTTAAATTTTGTGCTTTGTTCATATTATTCTCTTGTATGTTTTAAATAAAAATATTAAAAATAAAACTAATGATGTATATAAATTAGCTTTCAAAATTTTAAATAATATTGTTAATTCTTATTGATTTATTATAATGTGTTATTTATTGTTCCTTATTTATTTTTTCCAACTTCAACAAAATATATGAATATTTTTCTCTTTCCCTTTTGTTATACATTTAATTATTTTATCAAACATCGTGTAGTACACAGTATTGTACTAGTTGTATTATTATACGACAATCATTCCTTAAAAAATGGTATAATTTCTGAGTTAATATTATATATGATAAGTAATACCAATATTAGCACTACCACATAATTATTACGATTTCATACATATAATATCTATTTTTTTTAATTTAACTCTCATTTAAATAATAAGTGCCTTTTTTTCCTGAGGTGAGTTTCAGTATTTTAAATTGATTTAAATATCACAAAATATAATTTAACAATATTATCTTACACAGTTACACCTAGTTATTTATTTGATTTAATTTAGCAGAATATTCACATTTTATTTTCATTAATTTAAATTAATTTTAATATAAAAATATTGTTTAACGAGAGTATCTTACACATAGTTAGAGTAAATTATAATTTTAGTCTTGTATGTTTCACTACCTTAACTTTTTCGTTCTCTTCGAATTGTGTTCTTTATTTTCGTCCCGTATGTTTGCAAAAAGGTTACAAAAAGGTCATTTCATACATAAGGGACGAAATTGGATTTTTTTTTTGCAAAACATAAAAGGACCTTTTTTGTTGTGAAAATGACCTTTTTGTAACTTTTTTCCAAACATACGGGACGAAAATGAAAAACGCTATTCGAAGATGACCAAAAAGTTAAGATAGTGAAACATAACTAAAACTGCATTTTATTCCACATAATCATTTAAATGGTCGATATAGGATGTTCATTAAATTAAATTAATTTTAATTAAAAAAATATAGTTTAACGAGACTATCTTACACATAGTTATTTAAATGGTCGATATAGAATGGATAAAAATGCAATTAAATACAAAATTACTTATATCAAAATTATTTTATTTATTGTAAGGTTAATGAAGTACTACCTACCAATTTTAAGGCTATTTATCCAGGCTTATAATTATATACATGAATAATGAAAAATGTACGGGATATATATAGTACGTGACCCGTGCAAAGCACGAGATATATTTATTTGGAGAATATTATATTATAAGATGCAATATTCAATACAAGTTTATAATACGCAAGAAAATTGTACAATGTTCAATAAAAGTTTTATAATATTCAAGTGGAGTCTTAAAGTCTCTTGTACATTAAGACTACTAGTAAAATAATATTTTAATCAATAAGTTTCCTTTCCTTGTAGCCAAATTGTGAATGTGATTTGAGGAGTACAACAAATCGATATATAGCTGACTTGCTTTTTCCATTGTAGTTTTTTTTTTTTCTTTTTTTTTTTATAATGAATTTAAAGATATTCTAAAATATAGCAAAAATTAATTTTTGTATTACAATTAGGAATTTTACTAAATATAAACTCTCAATCTATGGTGTTAATCAACGTTTAAGTTTAAAAAATTAGGAATTTTGACCTCTTTTAATCAACGTTTAAGTCTAAAAAACAATAGAGTTATTATAAGTTTTTTTTCTACATCTTTTAAAACATTAAATATGAGCATGTTAGGGCTAGCTTGTAAAATAATTACTATATTATCTCAACTAAACATTTATACTAATAAAAATTTAATTTTAGCATATAAATTTATCCCTTGATATTAGAGAAAGTAACAGTTTTACTTATTGTTGTTCACCATATAATATTTAATTATTATTTTATTATATAATAAAAAAGAAATATTGTTAAATAGTGTAGTACAGTTGTCATAAAATTATATGATTTTTTTTACAATATGGATTTAATATTTTTTTATGATTTAATAATATAAACAAATCTATACTTAACTTTGACAAATAAAACAAATAAATACTTTAGTAAGTATTTAATGTATATACTAAATAGGAATATATTTCGTATAATCAAATACCAAATATAATCAAATAAGTCAAAGTGTACATTTTTATTTGGTATTTGATTTTTTTATTATTAAAATCTTTTTATTATACTTACCTTTTTAAAATAAAACAAATAAATAAATCAATTAAATAAATAAAATATTATAATATCAAAATAGTAATGGCATTTAATGCAGTTGACTTTTCTGGATAGTAAATGTAGTAAATAGAATCTCCTTTTATATAAGTATAGATATTATTTAACATGTTAAGGAGATTTAGATGTCCATTTTTAATAGGAAAATTACGTACCTTCCTATTCGATCATAAGATATCTTCTAAATATTAAAATACCTACCAAAATTACCTTTCTAGCGTTACCTCCTTCAGTTCAATTACCTTTCTAGCGTTACCTCCCCCAGTTCTTACCTAACAACATGATCTCCTTGTTTCCATATCTAGAGACTCAATTGTTTGAAGATTATTTGAATGGGACAGCCTAAATGGAGCTGTCTCATTGGCTGTTGGCGAGCCAACAGTTGGCTCCTTAACATTATTATCAAGTATAATATTTTTTCAAGTTGCTCTTAAATTAAAAAATGAAGAATTATAAATGTATTTGATCTGTTTTTCAAGTTGCTCTTAAAGTTTAAAAATGAAGAATTATAAATGAATTTGATCTTTTCTAAAGTTTANATAGAAAGAAAAAAAGGAAGAACTAAAGTTAAAACTTTACTTCAAATACTACCAAAATAGCTGATACTGTTTTAATCTTTTAGTTTTCATGTCTAGTTAGTTGTTCATAATATAAAACCAGAGAAAAACCTATGAAAAACAAATACCAACATTTCCCTATTCTAAACTTTGGACTGTTTCATCCTAATGGATCTTGCATGTGAGTGGGTCGTGACGGTTCGAGTCGGGTCAAATCAAGGCAAAAAATGCCATTATCCAGAATTGATAAGCGAGTTCGACCTATTTTAGAAAGAAGACAAATTTATTCTGCGCAAAGGCTTCGGGTCGGCCAAATTGCCACGACTTACTAATAATTTACACACAAATTGTTGTTGGGTGGGACAGTCTAACGATTAGACAGATCGACTGGTATACAATTTGAAGGAAAATGCATACATATATTATCAAATTTTATATTTTTATTTATATTATTTTTTTAAAGTATGTCATTTTTTGATGAACATATGTTTGCAACGAGAGTATGTCCGACTAATGACAAACCAACCGGGAAGTACGGTAAATTTCAGAAAAAAAAAATCTAGAAATGACTCGAAACTGGAAATTAGAAAGGTCCCTCAAATACCCTAATTTCACAATTTTGACCTCCTTCCCCTTTCCTTCCTCTATCCAAATTCCCCATCTCTCATCAAATTCTATCTACAAACGTAGAACTTTCCGGTTCCCCTTCCGATTCCCTACTGCCCAGTTCTGCAAAGGTCCAGATTTTCATCGTAAGGTCGTTCATCTCGCTATTTCTCAATATGGATTGCATGCCTTATGTGTGCCCGTGTGTTGATTAAGCGTCATTTTATGACTTCACGAATATTTTCGTTTTCTGCGCTTGTTTACCGATGTTTGTGAGCTTCCCTTGTCTGTTTTTATGCAATATTTGGACATGGATGTTGTTGTTGTTGTTTGTTAATATAATTTGGAAATTTTATGAAGTGATTTAATTTTGCTTAATTTGTCATATCATGTGCAGTGGGCTCTTGGGCAGTATCCCCAGTTCACATTCGTTGTTTAGAATTTCACTGGGGAAGGTAAGCTTCTCTGTTTTTCACAGATAAGCCCTGTGCCTTTATGTTTGGATGCATGAATTGAATAATTAACGATGACCTGATGTGAAAGTAATCTGACTTTTTTCAGGGTCGGTTGATCATGACTTAAGTATGAGTCTTGCGGCAAATCTTGGTTTACTTTTGGTATAGATGATGGCATTAGTTTCGACTCATCAGTTAAAGGTAATAATGATTGTCTATATTTTTGTTAATGAATGCTAAAGATGTGGTATTCAAATGGCTGTATCATACAATATTTGATGGTAATAAAAAATTACAGTTTTGCTGGGTGTGTTGATAAGTCATGAAACTGGGTTGATAACTTGATATCTGATTAACTGATTTCTTGATGTTGGGTGGCAAAAAGCTTGTTGTGTTAAGGTTTAAGGTAATTTATATTTACTTTTTGACCTAACAAGACTGAAACACTGCTTGGAACAACATTTTTCACAAGCTTTCGAGGTTATAATATTTTCCACTGACCTTCACTCACTCATTTTTCGAAAATTTAAGAGTGATTGGATATTTTTCTATTGTCAAAATTATTTTCCTATCCACGTATAAATTTAATAGAAAAGACTATAGAAGAACCATAAAAGATTTTGTAATAGATACATAATTCATTATAAAATTAAAATGAGATTGATTGGTTATGATGGTAGCAGGATTTAACTAACTGACAATTATATGTTTTTAATAAACACATATACTTTTGTACATAAGTAACATAATTGAAAATTAATATAAATAAAAATATGACATTTTATTATTTAAATTTGTATTTTTATTTAATAAGTATAGGGATGGATCCGTTTATTGTTAGACTCTCTTATACACAAATTAAATTTGTGTGTTGTAAAAGGTACTTAAACTTTTTTTGTTTTTTTAAGAGTAACAGCATGATTGAAAACATTTATTCTCCCTTTGTTATTAATTTACTAATCTTTACATAATCACAAGACAATGACATAATAATGGATTCACCGTAAATCAAGTTGACAACTGCCCAATTTCATATGATCTCATCTAAAAAAAGGGTCAATTCCTTTTATTTATTGTAATTAACTCTTCTTATTTATTCAAAAATACCATTCAAAAATAAAAATTTTCATAAATCTACTTATTATAGTTTTCTTCAAACTCATTCACTAGGGTAGCAAGGGGATTCCTACCTAATACTATTAGAACTAGTAATCACCCGTGCGATGCACAGGAAAATTACTATCTATGTGTTTTTCAGAAGGCAAATTTGTATATAAATTGTGTAATACTGCAATGATCATGATCATAAGAATAGACATATAAACATATAATTAAACTCATAAGATCATATATTATTGAACACTTTCTTATATACAACATTATTGGTTTGATTCTTTGGCACTTTCTTATAGGACATGGTTATGATATCATAAGAAAGCTGGACGGATTTGGTTTGATCTTTTGATTTTCGGTTGAGGTCCGAAATTTTGTAGTCGAAAAATTTGATAACCGGAAATGAAGTTGGTTTTATATATCGATTTTGTTGTTTTATAGACGGATCTGGTCTAATATTTCGATTATAAGTCGAGATCTTTTAAATATGAAGTCGAACAATATGAAAACCATAAAGGAAGTCATTCATTTTTTAAAATGGTCTTAAATATGAAACTGATGTTTTTTTTTTAGCTTTTTCAAATTTTTTAACATATTCAAATGAAATGTGGTCTTGAACATTAAAACTCCCAAGAAATCTCTAAGGTAAGAGTTACTATAATATTGTCGTAGTTTATATTCGGACCTATTGACTTTCTTATTGTTATCTGTTTAACCAATATCATTCTTGTCCTAAGTGATGAGCTATTTTAGGTTTGAACATGCTATAAATGGTATGTTATAAAATAGTCCATGAATTGGTAGACACAACACGATTGGATTATGAAAATGTCTCATTTCATCATTAGAGTTATGATTATCTCATCAGAAGGTGAACTAAATAAAAAAAAAATTTCAATTATTTTTNAAAAAAAAAAGGGCAAGCCAAAGCAGTGGAACGAAGTCATTTTACGAAGGACATTTAGGGGCAACAATGTCAATTCACAAAGGACACATGTCTATCTCTCAATGCCTCAAACTGGTTTATATATATATAAGAGAGATATAAGCTTCGTACAACAAATTTTTTTATTTTTTTTTAATCTCAATCTTATCTCATAGCTTATTTAGGTAGTTTTTCAAATAAATTTATTAAAATTTTTATTTCAACTAATTTATTAATTAAATTTATCATAAGCTAATCAAATAAACTATAAACTAATTTATTTGTATACGAAACATAACAATACTTGTACCAATTAAAAATATTGGGTCAAATAATGTATTTGAAATTTTCAATCAACTAATTAAACTCTAATCTAAAATAATTAGCCTTTAAATACCACTATGCCCTTTAGAACCCTAATTAATTTCCATCTACACCTCCTCTCCAATTCTTCCCTACAAGACGAGAGCTTGCAAGAATTTATTGCTACACTTTAAAATCGAAAGTACGACATTAAAGTCGTCTTCAACAGTTTGTTACCTCAACAAGAAAAAATGTCTGCTTTTTTGCAGAACCCACTTTCTCTTTGTTCGCCTCGAGTTCAGTATTTACGCGCTGTTGATTATCACCATTTGTTGCCGAGATATAAGTTAATCAACCCGTTTTCTCGTTGCCCGTTTAGTAAAGTTTCGACCTTTTTGCCTTATGCTGTGCAAAATTCAAGAACCCATGTGTCTCCCTTACACTCCTCCTTCAGCCAGGTTAAAAGACAAAAAGCGATTCTTGATTATTTCTTTTTTCTGTTTTCGTTTGTTTTTTCTTAATTTTGCAATTATTTTTGTGGTGGGCTGTAGTTGATAGAGACATTAATAAGCGGGGTGGATTTGTCTGAAGATGAAGCTGAGGCCTCTCTTGATTTCTTGTTGGACGGTGCTGATGAGGCTTTGATTAGCGCGTTTTTGGTGCTTTTGAGAGCTAAAGGAGAAACTTATGAAGAAGTAAGTGTTATTNGAGGCGTGTGCTTCTGTTCTTTTCTCAGAATGTCAGCTTTTTTGAATTTTTTTCTACAATTTAGTTCTGTCCAATTTCACAGTTGATATGAATTGAGACATGAGTGTAATGGGCCTCCATATTTGTCCCTGTTTTCACATATGTAGTTCTTATGTTGTTTAAATCATATTCTTAAAAGGGCCATCTTTTGTTTTAAATCCTATCCGTCTGCTTTTGAGATATGATCTAGTGATTGGTTGTAAATAGACATGAAGCGATGTTTACTTTGGCTGATGGAACACTATGTTGACTCAAAAGGGAAATTCTTTTAGATCATTGAAAATATAATGTCTTCATAGTTTGATGATGAACACAGAACATATTACGAGATAGTACAAACAGATGTTTTTGTCTTATCTTACTCAGCTTGCCAAAATGTAATTAAATTGGTACACTTGGCGCTTGGCACTTGCACTATAGAGTTATAAGTTAAAGAGTATGCAGTAATGAATGTATGAATGTATGAAGGTAGGTTAAAAAACTTATTCAGAAAAGTGTCTCATTATAATCTGAAGTAGAACACACAATGATATAAATATTGACCTACAAAGAGTATTTAATAATAGGTAGTTGGGCTAGCAAGAGCTATGGTAAAACACTGCAAGAAAGTGGAAAGACTTGTTGATGCAGTGGACATTGTTGGGACTGGCGGTGATGGAGCAAATACTGTGAATATCTCTACCGGGGCCTCAGTTCTTGCTGCAGCTTGTGGAGCCAAAGTTGCTAAGGTGTGGTATCTAAATGTCATATCCATATTACTCGGAAGAATTTGCATGCATTTTAGAAAAAATGGAATAATTTTGGGAATAAAATGGTATTTTCTTCCCTAGAAGCTGAGGATTGCTGGTTTTATTGTTTGCAAATGCTCCCTAGATTCGAAATATTCTTCATTCATGTTTCTCTCTCTTTTCTTCCCCTTTTTNTTTTTTTTTTTTTAAATGAGTTGGAGGCTTGAAATCAGCAATTGCATTGCAGCAAGGTAATCGGTCTAGTTCATCTGCTTGTGGTAGTGCCGATGTACTTGAAGCATTGGGAGTTGAAATTTGTTTGGAACCTGAGGTATGTGCTAGATATAGTATGACTTTTTTCTTTCTTTAAACTTCTTAAACTGGCATAATAAAAAAATGCACACATTATAGTGCCATTGAGCATGCAATTTTCACAAACGAGAAGGGGCGTAAATCGTAATAGTGGATCATTTGGTATCATCCCGCATTTGACATGCACTTCTTGTCATGAAATCGGTTGGTAATTAATGATTAAAAGTTAAAACTAAATATGATTAGATGTTTCGTATTAATAATTGTTTTTTCTACCATGTTTTGATAATAGAAATGGGTAACAGGGACCACATGAAAACATCCTGTGACCTTACACTCTTAAATGTCCAATTTGAGCTTGTGGGCTACCCCAACATTGACCTTTAACCAGATGGCCTAAAATGAATTCAATGATCCACTTGGAACTGGACATACATTTATAATAGTTTGAACTTTTGCAACATCTCATCTATGAATTTATTTGGCACAGGAACTACCTTCGAGGCTTTCATTCTGTTTTTGAGTGAATATAGTGATAAAATAATTTAGAGATAAACTTTCTTAATGTGTTTTGTGGCTTATTTCTATCAGAGTTTTTCTGTGCCTAGGATTTTATTTTTCCTTTTTTTCTTTTTCTGTGCTTTTTTTATAGTACAAAAGAATGTGATAATGTGCTGAGAATTTCATATAAAATTTTTAATGAGAGAGGGTATACTTAAAAACATGCCAACTGATGAACCTAAACAATATCTTGCATATCTTCAGCCACTCGTTTATTAGGCCTATTTTATTGTGTTTAGGGGGTTGCTAGGTGTGTTAATGAAGTAGGGATCGGCTTTATGATGGCTCCAATTTATCACCCGGCAATGCAAATTGTTAGACCTATCAGGAAAAAGCTCAAAGTGAAGACTGTGTTCAATATCTTAGGCCCTATGTTGAATCCTGCAAGAGTCTCGTATGCTGTTGTTGGTGTGTACAAGGAAGAATTGGTGAGTTATAAATTTGCGAATTGTGGTGTTGAATCAATTTATTTATGCGAATTGAAGTTTTCTTTTGAATTTCATCATACTTTTTTTGTTTTTTCTTCTTCTAAATGTGCTTCATATTTATTTATTTATTGTCCATTGCTAGGTGCATAAAATGGCAAAAGCACTTCAAAGATTTGGCATGAAAAGAGCACTGATTGTTCACTCAGAGGGACTGGACGAAATGAGTCCACTCGGTAAAATTAGATAACATCTCTTTTTATCTTTACCGTAACATATTAATTCTGCAAACATAGAAAGATCGAGCTCCATTTTGATTTTTTCTTCATAAAATTGTGAACTATATAGCTTATGTCTTTTCATTTTCATGTAATTATACTCAGATTCTTTCTTGAAATTTTTAAAACAGGGCCCGGATTAGTCCTTGATGTCACACCAGATAAGATAGAGAAGTTCGCATTTGATCCATGTAAGATTCTTCAACTTACATAATAAATTCGTGTTGTTACCCTTTCCCTTTTGTCTCTCAATAACTTATAATTGGTTCGATTTATTGTTTTATCTTGAATAATTTATTAGTGGATTTCGGTATTCCCCGATGCACTCTGGACGATTTACGAGGCGGAGACCCTGATTACAATGCTGAAGTTCTTAAACGCGTACTATCAGGAGAAAAGGGCCCTATAGCCGATGCCTTGGTAATTTTACAACCTTACATATATTTTTTTTTTTTTTTGGTTTTTTCCTTCTTTCCATGTTCGCCTAGCAGTTAATCTTTTCGACACACAACTCTATTAGTAGTACTCACTTAATCGATGATCATAAAAGCTACTTACTACTCCTTGAGCTTCTGTCTAATTACTGTAAAACTCGACATTTAAGAACTGCAAATGCTTCCTTCACATTTTGTTTCGATTTTGCAGATCGCAATCTGTAAAACTAGCTCAAGTNCTCAAGTTTTTTTTTTTTTACTTAATTTTATTTATTATTATAACAATGATAAAACTTCTGGAATGGAATTTCACAGGTGTTAAATGCAGCTTCAGCTCTCTTGGTAAGCGGGCAAGTCGAATCTCTTGCCCAGGGAGTAAATCTTGCTCGGGACACACAACAGTCAGGAAAAGCTTTTGAGACGCTCAATCTTTGGATTATTGAATCGAATGTAAGAAAATATAAGGATGTAATGATTAGTTCTTCTCCTATTTCGACACGAGCTGACAGCTATAATATACTTCACTTTTTTTCAGAAAGCGAAAGAGGCGGCTAACCATAGTGGCACTCCCATTCTTACATGAAAGCCAATAGTACGAGTTTGAGCTTAAACACTGACATTTTCATCCCTAAAGACGATAAAAAAAAACATTACCATTTACTGAGTCTGTAACTTTCGGGTGCGGCATTCTTTTACTTGTTTTCGTTTTGTTTTTTTTCATTTACTTGTTTTCGTTTTGTTTTTTTTTCATTTGGATTGTCGTTTATTTAGACATCGAACTGTAGTTTTGTGACTTTTCAGCCCACTTACGGCCTCTTCTTTTGTAGCAAATGCTTCTTTCTTGGAAGGGCTGGGCTCATAGAACAACCTAAATAAAAATAAAAGTGCCCAATTTATTAGAATTCGTTATAGAATATTCAGATTTATTTCGGATAGTTCATGGGTTCACCATCTAATTGGGCGAAGCCCAAATATCTTAATTTAATGGGTTTGTCCAGCCCAATAACGCTTATTGTCATGCTTAGTCATTTAATCTAACACTTAACAATAACTCCATTAAAGCCTCTCTAATGTCATGAATTGAAATGTTCTAAATAACATTATTTTGAGCAAGCAAGATAAAGCCATGGTCCACTAGTTAATTCATTAAAGTTAGTGGATTGAGCAGGAATTTGGCCTGAAAAATTTTCTAATTATGTAGCTTAAAAAAGTAAAATCTTAAATTAATTTTTACAAATTTTCGAAGTCTTGATTCGGATGGAGTAAAATAGAAAAACTTACAACATTACCCTCTCTGTTTTTAGCTTTTCCCCATTGAAATAAAAAAAAAATGATTCATGGACGATGATGGCCTCGTTTAGCACATAGATTCTTATCTGTCAAAATTTTGTTTTCAATTTGAATTTTTGTTTTAGTGCGTTACATAGTTTTTTTAAATTAACTTTTACGATTTTAAGGGTGTTTAGCTTCTGTGTATATTTTTAAGTTATTTTAATGTTCCCTTTTAACATTATTAGTCATCTTCTTTTCAAGAATCTTCATTTTTTTGGTAGTTTACAATATTATTTTATATTTTGGTACTCGGAAAAGGCTTCTTCAACTAGCATTACTATTTTTTTAATTTTTTTTTTTTTAAAGAATTTGTGGTTTCTATTTATGGTTGGTTGGTCTCTGCCAGTTTAAACATCAAACGATGATGATCCTAGCTANGAAACTCGTTTTACTAGCAGTCAAGAATGATTTCGGCTGGGAGTCCTCCTCTTTAAATCTATAAAGTAAATATTTGATGTTACAGAAGTGGAAAACCATTTAAGTAGCATCACAAGTGAAAACACATTATAGTAGCATCAGCAACAAAATGTGATGCAGATGATAATACTCACATCCTTGCATTATGATCACATAGAGCTGATTGTCTCATGTCTACAAGCCGAACAAAACCCCTTGAAGTGCTGTAAGCCAGCAAATTACAGTGAAATGGGTGGAATTCCGCTGCTGTGATCACCTCTAACAAAATTCATCAAAGCTTAAATATTATTCTTTCGTTTTGTTCGAAGGCGAAGAAGAAACAAGTGGGTTGAGTGTTGCAGACAAAGTCAATTTTACCCACTGCTCATTTATTTCTTTGAGAAAATAAGTAATATAAAGGTGTAGAGAAAAGTAGATGAATAAAAAACCCTTTTTCTTCTGAAAATGATCCAATTAAAAAATGACAACAAGTACTATAGAATGACAGATTGATGATGGCAAGGTAACAGATCTAGCCCTTATGATACGTCGGATAAAATACCTATGAGATCTTCCATGTTTGTAGGCTTCAGGTCAATTATCTTGAGACATTGGTTGCTAACTTCAAGATTCCACAAATTTATTCTTAGGTCATCTCTAGAAAGAAATGTCTCCCAATCACTTCAAAAAAAAAAATCATGCAAATTCCATTAGAATAGCNATTCCAATAGAATAGCTGTGACAATTTTTAGAATCTCAAACTCTTTTGGAATTCTATAGTTGAGTTCATCAAGTGGTATACATAGAAAATAATTATTGAGCATAAATCTGAATTTTATTGTGCCTGTATTGGATGTAAGTTTCTTTCTTTATCAGGTTAAGGGGACAGAAATTTCCAGTTACAGCCACAAACAATGCACAAGAGATCTGATATAAGAATCTCGATTACAAAATCTGTATAATCACTTATTTAAAATTCACTAAGCCAATAACATCTATGAGGTCCTTTACATTAGACGTGTATTTAAGATTTTTGGAGAAGGAGGTGAAATACATTATAGAATAGAGGATTTAGAGTTTTAGACTGAAAAGAAACAATTTAGACAAATCTAAATAAATAGGTAATCTAGAAAAATAACTAAACACACATGCTAACCATACCTATTAACTGAGATAGAGTTGACATTGAAATCATGAGCATGTGCATACACCCTTCGACATCTTGCTCGAGTAGCATCCTCTAAATATGCTATCTAGATAAAGGAAAAACATATCTCAGTTATTATGGAACAAAGAGATGAAACGTGTGTACCAAATCTAAACTCTTAAACGCATACATTTTTATTCCCTCCATTATATGATACGCCATTCAACACGTTTTCCGTCAATTCTAAAGAATTGCTGTTAGAAGCATTCGTCGTTTGCCCATTGATAAAACTCTTTTCGGCCAACAGTGAATTATCTGATGATACAGATTGACCGATTTCCATTTCTGTGACTTGCTTAGCTTCATGGTCCTTGACCTGTCTTTTGACCACCCATTAATATAATTGCAGGGAAATAGAATTGAATTATGAGCTCAGCTATCAGAATTTGTTTCCAACCCTAACAAATTACGTAATCGTCATTAAAATTGAAAGCTTCTAAAGTGAAAATCTTTTTCTATAGCATGTATATTTTGTATCAAGAAACAAGTCCATATATACAAACAATTCTAATGAGCTACCTCACAGCAGATCTAATATAGTCCCTATACCATAATTTGTGTTCCTTGCATCTCTTTTCAAGAAATTCTTTTAAAAATCCCAGGCTCAGAAAACATTCTGTACACAAGATAAATAGAAGAGTGTTTTACCCTCCATAACTTGAGAGTCTTATCATTTGTTGAAAGAAGACACAACGATCCATTCGACGACGCACACCACCTGATTTTATTGATCTTTTCTTCAATCTCAATGCTCCTCAAAGAATCAAACTGTAACAAAAGACATTACCAACAAGGTTCACAGACCCTGTAGAGTACTTTAAAGATACTTGTTGTCCACAAACCAGAGAGTTGAGCATACACCAATAAATTAAAAAATTTGCAAATTATGAAAAAAAATAAAAAAAAAACTGTTACATTAGTAAGTACATCGGGCTCATGACTCTGAAACTCTGTCTTGTACTGATACGTAGGATGTTTTAGCAGAGCACCATCGAGTTTCTCTAACTCATGACGTGAAGTGAGCTCGTCTACTTCCTACAACACCAACGAAAATAAACATGAAACTAGTCGATTCGGTTCGGTTTACTATTCCACTCCCCTATTTCACAGATCACATGGATGACACGTTGATTCATTAAAATATTCAACGACGCCCGTTCACCTTTACAACACATGTTATTCTACTCTCATGTTTGATCGATCACAGACAACACGTGTAGATGCATTAACTTTAAACGGCGCACATTTATCGTTAAGGCACGTGTCATTCAATCAATATCAACGTGTAAAGACATTAACTTTCAACGTGATTCACTTTAAGGCACGCTGTCATCCAACCAATTCAGTGGAGTTAAGAGAGAAAAACAACAAAATAAAAGACAGGGTGCAGTTCAACACAACTAACATGAAAATTGTGTATCCAGAAAGTGCCAGCTTTTCATGTCACAATCTCATGCTACAATACTTCAGACTTCCACAATACACCAAAAAATCAAACATTTCCACTATGCACACTTAATCCAGTTCATGCATTTCTCATCCTTCACAACACGCTTAAAAAGGTAATTGCTTCCTTGCAAGCCAAAAATTGGATAAAATTGAAAAAAAAAATGAAAAACGAAAAGGGAAATTTCGCACATCTTTACCACCATCCCGCTTAAAGATGACAACGCGACCTCCTCGATCGCCCACAGCCAGGTGATCTCCATTCTTATCGAACTCAAGCGCCGTAATAAGATCAACTACACCAAAAACCAACCAACCAAACCAAATTATTCCCAACGCAAACTCGCAAAATCACAAATTCGATGAAACACAGCCCGCAGGCGTCAGAAACTGAACTCACACACTTTCTCCGGGGAGCTTATCGCCAAACGCTTGGGAAACCTCCACTCCACGGCGTCCGGCGAAGAAACGGAAGAGTCTGAGTCGAAACTCAAGCTCATGGCGCGGCTTTACAGTTAAAGCGCTCAAAACGACATCGTCCAGCGCCGCCGGATTAGCAGCTGTTCAGCTCAGGTCGGCTCAACTCGGCCGCCGATTTTCTGCCTGTGTGTGTTTTGTGCGTGAGAGAGAGAGTTTCGGTTTTATCCACTCGAATTTTGAGGGAAATTTAACAGAGTGAAAGGGTAAAATGATATGAAGGAAAAAAAAAATTATAGTGCTGATTATTTATTTTCAGGTCCCTTTTATTGGTAAAGTGTGGGCCCCATCGTTAACAACCTCCGCCGATAATTTACTTCAGTCCATGTGAAGGCGTACAATTTAGGTATGTTTCCTATGTGGAATTTTTGCCAAGTTAGGTTGATTTTTCATTACAATTTAAATGCATGGCTAGTGCTATGGTGATTATGTAAAATTATTCTTCGATATAAATATTTATATATTATAATTTTTTTCCATTTTCTAGATTTGTAAAATATTAATTTATTTAACAATTTGTGAAAGTAAAACAAAATTAATTAAGACTGGACAAATGATATTTTTTGATTTTATCTGTCCAGTTAAAATTTAGCTCATTAAAATCGAAAATGAAGTGAATGTTTTTTTTTAAATACTATTATTTTTTTCTAGAATTTTCTCCATAAATTCCACTAATATAAATAAAAAATAAATATTAATTATTATAATATCATCCAAAAAAAATATTTGTCCGCCAATATAATTCTAAATACCTACCTTATCAATTATATATTTTATTATTTTATAACACATTAACGGTAATTATCACATTTTTATCTCATATATGTTTACAAAATCAAACTATCTCACATTTTAAAAAAAAAAAAAAATTCTTTTTACTTTTGCATCTCACTTTGTTTTAACAAGATGTTTTGTTTTCTTAAGAAAAAATATCCAATAATCAATCAATTCACGGTAATGTCTAATATAAATTAGTGAGAAATATTATTTAATTTTAATTATAATAAATTTCCATTGGTTTATTCATTTTTTTTTAAATGCAATACTACACATAAAATAATGTTTCACATAATGTTTGAAAGATGTTCAGTTAAATTATTCTTTGATGTTATATTTTGATGTTTAAAATAGTTGTTTACATCAATATTTAAATTAGTAATTGTAAATTGATAACAATAATATACCTAGTGAAAGCGGAAGGCAAAAGATTAGTTCTCCGGGAATGGCTTTGAAAGTCCCAAGTTGGTGCTGCAAATAAGCTCGAACGAAAATCATCAAAAGATAATTAATTAAGATAATGGATTAGATGAAAAAGTTACATAAATTTTGATAATGATACTATTATCTTAGATCCAAAGTATGTGTGACTTTTGATAATTATACTACATAAAAAAATATAAAAATTAAACAAATTCGACCAGGTTGGGTGGGGCGGGTTAGATAGCCGGGGCTACAGTGATCTGCTTTGTGCAAACATGATTGACAAGGGGCCCAGCCCACTATTATATCTTAAGCAGTGGCCTTAATTTGAGTTGAGCTATCTATAAAATTCAAGAATAAGTATTACTGTTAGCTGTTCTTTTGACACTCTGCCTCGTGATGGTTTACAACTGATTCGAGAAAGCATTATGGTCCAATATTTTTGAAACAAAACATTAAAACAAAGTTTTAAAAAAGTGTTTAGGTTAAAATTGTTGTATAAAGGAGGGAAAAAAAAGTTCTATCAATATGCTGTAGAAGTATTTCATGTCTCTGGAGATCAAAATTAAAAGTAAGAACAAAAAAAAAGGGTGCCCATGCTTTCTAAGGGGACTGCAATTTTATTTATTAGTGGTATTCATTTATTTTTTTCATAACATTAATTAAAAGAATGTTGGGCATAAGCTGAATCTGTAAGGCAGAAAATAATAGATCAAAATCAAAAAATATTTTCACAGTTTCAAGAAATACAAGAAATGCATGTAGCCCATCCTCTTACAGTTTCAAGTTCTATCAGTGTATAAAATTCTCAAGGAATACGACAGAATAGTGTATCGGTGTATGATTTTCAAAGCACATTATATGAAATTTTATATGAAATTTCAGCACATTATCACATTCTTTTGTACTATAAAAAGCACATAAAAAGAAAAAAAGGAAAAATAAAATCCTTGGCGCAGAAAAGCTCTGATATAAATAAGCCACAAAACACATTAAGAAAGTTTATCTCTAAATTATTTTATCACTATATTCACTCAAAAAAAGAATGAAAGCCTCAAAGGTAGTTCTTGTGCCAAATAAATTCATAGATGAGATGTTGCAAAAGTTCAAACTATTATAAATGTATGTCCAGTTCCAAGTGGATCATTGAATTCATTTTAGGCCATTTGGTTAAAGGTCAATGTTGGGGTAGCCCACAAGCTCAAATTGGACATTTAAGAGTGTAAGGCCACAGGATGTTTTCATGTGGTCCCTGTTACCCATTTCTCTTATCAAAACATGGTAGAAAAAACAACTATAAATACAAACATCTAATCATATTTAGTTTTGACTTTTAATCATTAATTACCAACTGATTTCATGACAAGAAGTGCATGTCAAATGCGGACTGATACCAAATGATCCACTATTACGATTTATGCCCCTTCTCAAACCAAGATGATTGCATGTTCAATGGCACTATAATGTGTGCATTTAAGAGAAGTTTTATTGCAACAACCCGCTATTTAGGGCCAATTTTTCGCAAATGTTACCTTCGAAAATGCTTATAAATTTTTCGCAATCATTTGCAAACTTATCTCGGGATGCTGCTAAAAACTTATTTGCTTTGAAAATTCGTTTTCTTAACTTGGTCTATCAACTGGTTTAGACTCTAAGAAAATCAGATTTAAATCTTTTATAGACTCTTGCATTTAAACTGAACCCGTTAGTACTAGCGAACTGGATAAATTATTTAAGTCTGAAAGTACTGTCATGCAAGTTCGAAATAAAAGCAAGCATAGCGGAATGTCTGAAAATGAGTGGTAATATTAGTTATACAAAACATTTTAAACAAATGTCCGGGGAACAGCTTTCGTGCGGAAACCCACGACCACAACCACCACAGCTGGACTCACGCCTACTGCCGACCCTGCCATCTGAAAATATAAAGTGGGGGTAAGTACGGTTCACTTGTACTCCATAAAAACCAATTCTAAAGTAAACAACAATAATAATAATGATATCACAGAACCGATATATATAATAAGTAACTGAAACTCCCGGACACTATGGCCGGTAACTGTAATCTCCCGGACACTCTGGCCGGTAACTCCCGGACACTCTGGCCGGTACCGTGTGCACACTCTGATGGTATATTTAGTGGGCCACCACAAGACCTTAGGGAAAGACAACTCGGCCTTAACCGCAAGCGGATAAAACTCATATACATACCTGAACGTGATATCGACTATTATACTCAATGTATAACCCAGACTGGGTCCCCACCTGATCTGCTTTGAAAATAGGTAAGTGCTGCTGTGCTGGTAGCTGACTCCTCAAGCTACATAAAAATATGAGCAATTATACTAAGTAATATGTTCGTCATATGCTCAATAATATGCTAGGATGCTCTACTCTGTCAGATTACTCATCCGGATATAAAGGAACGCTCTAAGGGTTCTCTGAAATAATTTTATGTCCGGAAATTAGACTGATATGCTTGACTGATCTGGTTTAGCTCGGAAATTACTCAAATTTCGGAATAAAACTCGGACCGAAAATTACGAACCAAAACTGACTCGAACCGCCGGCTAAACCGGCCGGTTCGCTCGCTAACTTAACCGGCCAGTTCGCTCGCTAACTCAACCGGGTCGGGCTGCACCGGACCGGGTCGGACCACCGGTTCACTCTGGACCGGATGGTCACGGGCTACTCGCACTGGCAGGGTTCAGTCCCGTGCCAGGCCTGCTGGGGCGCTGACACGGCGCTGGGCACGAGCTGGGTGCGACCAGCCTCGGCACTAGGCGCTGCTGGGCGCGGACAGGCACGGCCTTGGCACACTGGGGCCACTCGGGTGCTGCTGGGCACGGCCGAGGTCACTGGGCGTGCTGGTGCGCTGCTGGGCACGAGCACGGGCACGACTGGTGCCACTCGGGTGCTACTGGGCACACCGAGGCCTCTGAACACGGCTCGGGTTCACTAAGGTGCGGCACTGAACACTCGGGTGTGCTGCTGGCACGACCCGAGGTCGACTCCGCGTGGTACGAGCGACTGGCTCGGGATCACGCGTGCATGACACTGGGACATCGCTGCCGGGCGCTGTCGGGGGTGCTCTGGCGCGACTGGCGCTGAGACCTTGCTGGTTGGCACGGACAGGCGCTGCTGGGCGCTGTCGCGTGCGCTGGGGGCTGCGGTGCCTCGCGAGCGCTAGACGCGGGCACAGACAGAGGCACTGCCTGGCCTCTGCGACGCGGCACAGGCACGACACGTGCGACTGGCGCGGCTGGTGACCCTAGCCGGTCCTTTGCCGAACTTCCGGCAACTTTTCCGGTGACTACCAACCCAAAACAACTCAACATGATAAATAACATGTAAAAATGCCAAGAAATGCTAGGGCAACTCGGGTGGATGAGGGTTCGGTCCGGTAGGGCCTATATGGCACCTTTGGACCCTAAGTCATCGAACTAACATGCTCAACTTATCAAAACACTTAGGGCCGAATACTAAGCATCAAAAACCATGGCTAATGAGGCTAGAACATTGGTCAATACATGCATGCACATATACTTAGGTTCAGAGGTGAAAATGGCTCGATTTCACTTAACAAATTGACTGAACATATAGCATGCTAATCTTTTACCAATGTAATCCACATGATTTTTAAGGGATTATAAGCTACTAAAATCGGCCTAACCATGCATGTTGGTTAAATTTCGAAATTAAGGTCCATAACTTCCAAAATTCGAAACTTCACTTTAAATGCGTGCATGGCTTCATTTTCTTTACATGATAAATCCTATTTTATCATGAATAAGATGGAAAAAATGGTAAGCACGAGCTTACCTTGCTCTAACACGCGAATGGTGCTAATGGCCTTAGCTCGGGTCTACTCGTGACACGCGCGGCTTGTGGTCTTTGTGCTCGGTTGAAGGGCTTGATGGCTGAAGAAATGAACTCAATACACTTAGAAAAATCCAAACAACATTTGGAAAATGCTAAGCACTGATAGTTCACGGCTGGGACAAGCTGAGGTGCGGACTACCTTCTCCACGGCCTTACTCGCGCGCGCTAAGGGGGCTGGACACTTAGGCTCGGTTTTTCTCACTTAGCTCTCAATATACTGAAGGTAATGAAGTCTCCAAGAGTTGGGACAATGCTGA